AGTAGTAGTAGTAGTAGCAGTACTATTAGTAGTAGTAGTAGTAGTAGTAGTTGTAGTTGTAGTTGTAGTTGTTGTAGTTGTAGTTGTAGTTTTAGTAGTCGTAATTATAGTAGTAGTAGTGGTAGTAGTAGTAGTAGTAGTAGTAGTAGTAGTAGTAGTAGTAGTAGTAGTAGTAGTAGTAGTAGTAGTAGTCGTAGTCGTAGTCGTAGTCGTCGTCGTCGTCGTCGTCGTAGTAGTAGTAGTAGTAGTAGTAGTAGTAGTAGTAGTAGTAGTAGTAGTAGTAGGCGTAGTCGTAGTCGTAGTCGTAGTCGTAGTCGTAGTCGTAGTCGTAGTCGTAGTCGTAGTCGTAGTCGTAGTCGTAGTCGTAGTCGTAGTCGTAGTCGTAGTCGTAGTCGTTGTCGTAGTCGTAGTCGTAGTCGTAGTCGTAGTCGTAGTCGTAGTCGTAGTCGTAGTCGTAGTCGTAGTCGTAGTCGTAGTAGTAGTAGTAGTAGTAGTAGTAGTAGTAGTAGTAGTAGTAGTAGTAGTAGTAGTAGTAGTAGTAGTAGTAGTAGTAGTAGTAGTAGTAGTAGTAGTAGTAGTTAGTAGTAGTAGTAGTAGTAGTAGTAGTAGTAGTAGTAGTAGTAGTAGTAGTAGTAGTAGTAGTAGTAGTAGTAGTAGTAGTAGTAGTAGTAGTAGTAGTAGTAGTAGTAGTAGTAGTAGTAGTAGTAGTAGTAGTAGTAGTAGTAGTAGTAGTAGTAGTAGTAGGCGTAGTAGTAGTAGTAGTAGTAGTAGTAGTAGGAGGAGGCGGAGGAGGAGGAGGAGGAAGGGGAGGAGGAGGAGGAGGAAGAGGAGGAGAAGGAGGAGGAGGAGGAGGAGGAGGAGAGGCGTCTGCGCCCGAGGTATTGGCGGACGTTCGCCCTTCCGCTCGTGGCGACGCCCAGGCGGGGCGCCCGCCGCGAAATGGTCCACCTTGCCCTGCCCAGGCTGGGCCCCCCGCCTTCGCTAACCAGCCGAACGCGTAAGAGAAGTTTTCGGGCCCCATTTAGGCGCCTATGCCTCGGAAGACTGGGGCTTCTAAGACGATCCCAGCGACCGTGCGGAATGCCTTCAACTGCATTGGCTACGCCGCCCAGAGGTTGGGCTCCATCAAGGGCGCCAGCATTGCCCTCCTCATACGCGCGTGGGACGAGATGCTGCGTGGCAAACAGCAACATGATACGACCGCTACGACCTACAAGTACATCGTCATCCGGGTCCCCACAGAGACCGAGCATGGCAACCACATCCCTTCCCACAACGTGTTCGCCGTGGCCAGGCCGCCTGGCTACTGAGCAACCAACGCCAGCGCCACCCACGGCGACAACGAGGGTCTTCTGTCGTCGTCCTACATCCCTGCGCGCGACTCTTCCGCTTATTACGCCCCACGAACCCCTGCCCGACGACCCCCACGACCCCTTGCCCTACCCGCCTGCCCCACGACCCCCCCGCCTGACGGCCTCCACGACGGCCGCGCCCCGAGTGGCTGCATGCTCTGAGCGTGAGCCCGTGGGGGGGCACACCAGTGGAACTGGCCATATGGGGCGCTCGACGTCCCGAACGACCGCATGTCCTGGCAGGGCGCCCGCGGGGGCCATGCCCGGTGAAGCGGCCACAGGCACCAGCTGAAGCTGCCCCCTGGAGCCACCCACCCGACCCCCTGCCTGCCCCGCGACGCCCCCGAGCAACCCGGACCCCCCCGCGACCCACCACCAGGACGGCTTTCCGCGACGGCCACGCGGCGGCCCCCACGACGCCCCCCCCGACGCGGCCCCCATGATGGTCCCCATGACGGCCTTTGCGGCTGCCCCCACGACGGCCCCCGTGATTCACCCAACGACAAACCCCCGCGGCTGCCCCCGCGACGGTCCCCACAACGGCCCCGCCGCGACGGTGACGAAGACGGCGCCCGCCACGACGGCGACTACGACCGCGGCGGGGCCCCCCTCCCTGCGACGCCGACCTCAGCGACCGCCAGGACGGCCACGAGGACAGACAGACCGCCTGCCGAACCGACGCCACTCCCGAAGCCTTTCCCGATGCTCCCACCGACGCCCAAATCGACGCCCCGCCCCACTCCTTGCCCGACTCCGCGCCCGACACGCGCCCCACGCCCGACCCCCCACTGGGACAACCTCGGCTGTGCGGACCGCGCTTCCCTCGCGGACAGCTGGGCGGCCCGCAGCACGGGCGAGCGGACCGCCGACCCCGCGACCCCTCGCCCCCCGACCCCGCGCCCGACGGCCTCCACGACGACCCCCTAACTCAGCCCGACGGTTCCTGCGGCCCGCCATCCCGGGACCCCTCGCCCGACCCGGCGGCCCCTGCACGCGCAACCACGACGGCCTCCCACGACGGCCCCCGCGAACCACTGCCCCTTAACCCCCCCCGACGGGTGCGGCCGGCCCCTCCGCAGTGCCCAGTGATAGCGGTCATTGGGGGGCAGCAGCAGGCGCTCTCTTTTGGGCCCCCACGCCCGCCATCCCCCCGACGGCCCCACGACCCCCAACCCCAACCAGAGAGCTCCCGCGACCCACCACCGAGACGGCCCCACCCACGACGGTCGCTGCGCGACGGCCCCCGGGACAGCCCCCCGCGACAGCCCCGACCGCGGCCCCCGCGACGGACACTGCGACGGCCCCCGCGGCTGCCCCCATGACGTGTGCAGCAACGGCCTCGCCCTGAAGGCGACGAGGATGACGCCCGCCACGACGACGACGACTCCGACCGCGACGAAACCTCCCCCCTACGACGGCGCCGGCGACCGCCACGACGGGCGTGGGGGTGGACCGACCGACGGCCCAGTCGACGTCCCTCCCGACGCCCTCCCCGAAGCTCTCCGCGACGCCCATACCAGCGCCCCGCGCCCCCACGACGGCCTCTGGGCGACGACGCCCGCGACTGCACCCCGAGACGGCCTCGACAACGGCCCCTGCGACAGACCGCGCGATGGCCCTCCGCGAAGGGCCCCGGCGACGGCTCCGCCCCGACGGAGACGAAGATGACGCCCGCCACGACGCCCCCCGCTTAGCGACTCCGGCGCCAGCGATGGCAATCACGGGCGCGAGGATGGACCGACGGACCTGCCCCAGCCCATCACGTTGCACAGCAACCTCATTCTGGCAATAGCGCGCAGGCCCTGGGAGATCTTCAACGAGGACCCTGGTGACAAACTCAACCGCTACGCTGACTGCGGGGAGGCGATCCAGGACACCACGAGGGCGCACTTCAACGCGGTGGAGAGTTTTGGTTCCCAGGCCGCTTTCGACCAGCTGTCATCGACCACCTAGCTGGAATTCCTGAACGTCTCCATCGTCGAGCTGGCGGCATTCGCGAAGTACCAGCGCGCGAAAGCCCGCGGCGGTGCTGCCGACGAAGCGCCTGCCGAGTGAGACGGCCTCGACCCTAACAGACGCGCCCGCTGGACGCCACGGACCGAACATGGGTCCTCTCCTGCTGGAGTCCCTGTCCCGCGGCGCCACAGACCAACGCCGCGACCACGACCATGGCGACGCCCCTGACCACGACGCCCCTGCCACGCGTAATTCCACCGCAAGTGCAGCTTCTACTGGACTTCCAAAGAGGAATTCGGGGGCCTAAGAGGTCGGGGCGACGGCGCTCTGAACAGCCGGGGAGGATCGACGACAAGTAAGAGTGACCTCTCGCCGGAGTGGCCTTTGGTGCGGGCCCAATGGGTCCCCCGATCGCCGAACGCGATGTGGTAGTAATTAGCGTCTTGTGCGCTTGTGTGTTTGTTCCCCCGCGGCCTCCAAAAAACCGCGCATCAAGAGTCACTCTTGCCCAGAGTCATTCTTGCGTGCGGTCGAGAGGGGGGGGGGGTAGAGAGGCTGCGACATGCATGGAGGAACGCGACTTTTTAGTCGTCCGCCCTGCCGCTGCGGCGCGAGCTTTGGGACTTTACTCTGATCACCCCCCCAGGGTCAACGGCCCCCATGGGGGGGTGGATGGCAGCGTCCGAGTACATTGTGCCGTCAGTGTCCAGTGTCCAGTGTCCAGGAGAAGGAGGAGAAGGATGAGGAGGAGGATGAGGAGGAGGATGAGAAGGAGGAGGAGGAGGAGGCGCCTGAGGAAGAGGAGGAGGAGGAGGAGGAGCAGGAGGAGGAGGAGGAGGAGGAGGAGGAGGAGGAGGAGGAGGAGGAGGAGGAGGAGGAGGAGGAGGAGGAGGAGGATATGAAGGAGGTAGGAGGAGAAGTTGGGGGAGGGAGGGACGCTCGCGCTCCTCAGGGCCCAGTCATGGTCGTGGAGAGCGTGAAGGGGAAGGTGTCCACCGCGAACAAAGGCATGACCGACGCGGACCTGGAAAGGCGGCCCTTCGGATCGGGCGGCTCTCCTGGGCGGCTGACCCAGTGATCCTGGCCCTTCGTCCATCCCGACTGCGCTGGGCGCTTTCAACACGGCTTCGGGCCCCCAAGCCATCGCAGATCGACCCGGCGCGGAAAATGAACAGAAGGATGGGGTCTAGGGCTCCAGTCGTGATTGTTCAGGACGTCGTATTTTTGTCGCAGGGTCGGATCTTCGCCCAGAGCTGTCCGTGTGGGGTGTGGGGCGCGCGCCTGCGGCGCCACAGGGTCTCGCTCGAGGAGGTCTACTTCGTCCCCCGTCCGCCTCCCCAGCGTCCCCGAGGTCAGCTGTCCACCGCCCTCGTCCACCTCCCCCTCGTCTTAGTTGTTCGGTAGCAAAAATCATGGCCTTGTGCAGCCTCGTAATTCTGGCTCTAGCGTCGGCTCGCGTCGATTAGCGTCTGGGAGTCGATGAGATAACGCCTATTTAGCGCCGGCTAGCGTCGATTAGCCTCGATCTAGCGTCGATTAGCGTCGATTTTGCGTCGACCAGCGTCGATTCGCCAGAGCCGACGAGATGGTACGGGAGGCTCCCATGAGTTGCCACCGACCAGTTGTCCCTCCTCCGTCTGGCCATCACCCCCCGGCAACACGCTGCGAGTTGGGGCTGTCCCCAAGCCGAGG